TCCCGAGCGCCGAGCAGATGCCGGGAATCCAGTCGACGAACTTGACGTTTACTTTGGACCCGTTGCGCGAGCTGTGGGAGAATACGGCCGCGTCGACGAGGAAGAAGAACCCGAGGGAAAACTGGTTGCAATATATGGTCAGTAACTCATGTGCTTTGCTGCGTTGCGTTCAAGAAGACGGGGTCGAGCTCACCAGAGCTCCCGACGTGTAGACGCCCGCACTGCGGACGGTCGAGTTATTCAGCCATTCGGGCTTGGACCATCGGAAGAGGCGGTTATTGGAACCTTCCATTGCGAGCTTTTGTTGGAGTCAGATGACGTATAAAGTAGCTGTGCTATGGCAGGCGTGAAAGTACGTATATTTGCTCGATCGACGTCCGCATGCGCAGCTATCTGGGGTTATGATGCAGTTGGTGACCGGAGCTCGGAGATTTACAATATCCGACATATGGCGTAGCGCATGATGCATCCTCGCCTGTTCCATATCAACATAGAAAATAACGGGATTATGTGGCCCTGAAAGAATCATGTCTGAAATCGTTGGATTTACTTTTGCAAATACTGGTGTGCAGCGAGTCAGGCAGGCGGTTACAGTCTACAAAGCAGCTCAAATAATGACGTTGAGACCCCGAATCTAAAGTAGTCCATCTCAATGCTTCAAAGTTATTCATGACATCGTATCTCATTAATCTGTACCAGACAGATGTCAATCCTCTTCACAAAATAGCCTCAAGAACTCGTCTATATATGTCATTGCCTTTTCTTTGTCTAGCAAAGGCGGAAGGTCCTTTGCCGCCCCGTCGGTACTGGGGCATTGCTTCAGATACTTGCGGAGGGCAAATGTTGATGCGCGATAAGTTGCATGATACATCGCCTTGAACTCATCTTCGTCGGTACAAGAAGTTGCCCCTATCTCCGTGGACAAATTCACATCCGAATCGATCCCATTGCCATTTTTGGCTGTGCTTGTAGGTCGCGATGAGCGATTGAAGCCGTACAATCGCATGCACGTCAAGATCGTACGAGTGATGGTATTTTTATTCTCAGAAATAATGGTTTCGGCATCCTTAGGTGTCGCAGAAGGCTCCAGCTTGTCGTCCGAAGACGGTAACGCCGTCGAGTGTTCCCTTCGGGACATAGATTCCACTGGATTCGGGGTGTTCTTCCGCGAAGCAAAGTGGCTTCTACGGCTGCTGGGTCGGGTCGGTTCATTTCGGAAATCAGACGGTCTGAGGGGATGCAGATTGGCTCCAATGGACAATGACCGCGACCGCTGAAAGGCTATCTTTTCCAATAACGGCAGCGACGGTTCCTCGGGCTCATGTTTGATTCTGAAGGTCTGTAGATGTTGGGAGGGATGAGAAAGCGAGTTGGCCATCAACTGGGAGACCGCCTCTCCTCCTTTCTGTCGCACTTTCTTGTGATGCTGAGCAGCCGTCTCAAACAGCGTAGCAACTCTTTTACGCTTGGGACTGGGTGACCGAATGTCCGGAAGAAATTCAGCAAATCGTCCATCGCTGGGGAGCCCGTCCGGATCTTGCGGTGGGGAACAATGAGCCTGAGTCTTTGTGATGAGGGACGAAGAAAGCGGGGTCGCATAGATTCTCAGCTCCTGCTTATGAACATGAGATGCATATTCATACGGCTCGGGAGAAGACGAGATAGGCGGAGTAGGTGGCCGTTCAACTGAGGCTGCGCTTGACAGGACACCATGGACCATTAGATCTGTTGTAACGAGACCAGGGGCCTTGGTTCGAGAGGGCCTGTTGATACTGAGAAGAATTCCGACCGGACATTGAAATGTCTGGAACTTTTCTAATTCCTCCTCCTCCAGCCATATATTGCCCAGCAATTTGCTCTTCAGCCATTGTGATGTTTCGACGTCAGCTGTGTGTACTTCAAGGCTCGGTCCAGTTCTCGCGTAAAAGGGTATCAGTGCGGGATTCACGAAGCTGCGAAAGGCTAAACTTGAGTCTTTGAGTGTATCCGATTGCCAATTCGACGTCCGGTCGATTAGACGTAAACCTGTAAATTCAGTAGTGAGCAGCGCGTAAAGCAGAGGGCCCAGTCGCGTGAAGCGGTACCTTGAAGCACAGATTGCCTGTTCAGCGCAATGGATCCAGACCAGATGTCCATGGTAGAGTAATTATATGGCCCGAGAATCGCATACCTTGCCAATGTGAAGATTCGCTGGTACAGATACAGGCGCACTTTACCAGGTTGCTATAGTGGAGGTTTCTACTTGCAACACGACGCGCTCTGGATACCGGCGCGAGGTCACGTGTCGTCTACTCTGTCTACGTAAACTAATTAGTCCACATGGCTGTATCCGAAATCTTGTCTAGTTACCAATACCATGCCAATATATAGCATGAGATTCTAACGTATCATCGAAGATTAAGTCAAGCTAGGGGTATTATCCAAGAAATACCGTGGCAATGCTCTATATAACTTCGCATCGGCTATAGTACACCGTTCGTATCGCTGACAAAACAGGGTCAAAAGAAACAGGCTGCAGTTCATGAAATTTCACATAAGAGTAACAGTAGGTCAAATCAAGCGGGGAAAAACAACTCGTCACTTGTGGTGAGCCAGTGCCCTAGGACTTCACAGAGGTTTATGAACGGTCTGCTGGAATGGTGTCGTAGAAAAAGTATCCGCCCTCGAGCGTTCCCCGTTGCGGCTGACACTTTACGGAGATCAAAACTCCTCTTGCTCCTTGAAGAACATCGAGAAACTGATAATAGTGCCGTAAATCAGAAGACCTCCGAGGATGGACATGATCATGGCAGGGACCTGGATAGCGCCGCTATGCGCAAGCACGGCCGGCAGGGCTAGAGTCATCCGCATTAGACACCAGTCATATGACGAAGGTTTGCAAGGCATATAATGAGGATATCCCATGAGACGCAAATGCGATGGAGGACAGATGATAAGCAGTAGGCTGAACAAACTTACCAATACCCATCAACACTAGGAAACCAGTCAAGAAACGCCCAAAATCAGCGACTGCATTGCCGGAACTGTCCATAAAATCGTCTGGATTAGCGCATCGAGCGCAAATCCAGTTCGGTAGAGGAGCGATGACATATGTCGCAACCACAATCAACGGGAGGAAGTTGTGCCAAAGAGCGGAGGAGAGGATGACCAGAAGAAAGCCAATGGCAAGAACCTAAGCAGTCAAGATATTGGATCAGTACAATGCGCCACCAAAGCAATAATGAGTAACGAGGGACTCACAAAGGAGAGAGCGATAATAGTCTTCAGACCTGCCATCATGGCTGCGGATATACAGGACCTCGAAGGGCCCAAGGCAGGTGAGATATGAGGGATTCGTTCTCTGTAGACAGAGCCAGCAGCGACTTATCTCCAGATATCAAATATGATCTAAATCACAGCGACTGTTTTGTCTGCATCGAGACGGTCTGGGTCGTTTGAGTGATAAGCGTGTGCTAGCGGCACAGCTGCAGCTGTGGAGGTGACGTTGGCAATGGGGCATATTGGCAGCCTCAGGCACGCAGGCCCGAGCTTACCCAGCAGGCGGAGAGCTTCCCTTACTACTGACAGTTGCTAGAGGTCACCGCGTCAGTCGCTCACTGCCTGCTTCGATACTGCTTGTGTCTCTTCCCCCCTCTCTGCATCATCAATCTTTTCCAATCTCTTCCTGTCGGTATTGAGCTTCCCAGGTGCAATATTCTACCAAGTCTGAATCCTCCTTGAGACACTCCCTCCTCAACCATAGCCCGCAATCATGTTCAGAAACAATTACGACAACGATGCGGTCACCTTGTAGGTCCACCGAGCTATCCTATCCATGATATAAAGCTTTCTCATAACTAACAGGCTATTGATTGGGACAGCTCGCCACAAGGCCGGATATTCCAGGTTGAATATGCACAGGAAGCAGTCAAGCAAGGATCAGTTGTTGTAGGACTTGTCAACAAGACACATGCCGTGCTGGTCGGTCTAAAGGTACGAACTGTCTTCAGATTTACTTGCTCCTATCGCAGAGGACAGCTGATATGCTAATACGGTTTGCTCTGACTTCTTCTAGCGAAACGCCGAGGAACTATCATCCTACCAGAAGAAGATCATCGAAGTTGACTCCCACATGGGCATTGCTATCGCCGGTCTGGCATCGGACGCTCGCGTGCTCTCCAACTACATGAAGCAACAGTGCCTTGGTTCTAGAATGACTTACGGCCGTCCGCTGCCAGTGGATCGTATTGTTACTCAGATTGGCGACCGCGCCCAGACCAACACTCAGCAATATGGCAAGCGACCTTACGGTGTCGGTCTGCTCGTTGCAGGTGTCGACGAGGCTGGACCCCATCTGTTCGAATTTCAGCCGTCCGGCATGACTCAAGAGATGCTTGCTTGCGCCATCGGGGCTCGTTCGCAAATGGCGCGGACTTACCTGGAGCGGAATCTGGACAAATTCGCCGACTGCAGCCGGGAAGAGCTGATTAGCCACGGCCTTCGGGCTTTGAAAGAAACTTTGTCTCATGACAAGGAGCTGACGGTGGACAACACATCTGTCGGAGTGGTGGGACTTGCTGGAGAAGGGGCTCAGGGCAAGATCGAGACCTTCAAGTTATATGATGGCCAGAGCATCTCACCGTTGCTGGAAGCTCTTGAGCAGACAGATTCCGGGGAGACGAAAGAAGAGGAGTCGATGGAGGTCGATTCATAGTTCCCTTTGGACTTAACGCCGATAGATATGCAAGCTTGATCTCTTTCCTCTTCTTGTGGATCCGCTTCACTATACTTATTCTATACTCCGGCATGTTCGGTAGTGCGATCTGATTCGGGATATGGTTGTGGGATTATGCATCCATCACGGATCGTGCGAAACTAAATGCTAGCAATTCGTAATAGTAGTATCTCTTGCATTGCATCATTCGTCTAGTTCTATTTCATCCCATCATGTATCCGAGCTGCTAGCTCAAAACAGTCCTTGAGCCGAAGCCAGTACCAACAGCAGTCCGCTTGGACTAAACTCATTCCTGACCCCAATCCAGGTCCATCCTGCCGTTGCTAACCCGGTACTCCAGCAGCTTCGGCAGAACCTCGCGAGGATCCTTCGCCTCGACTAAGATCTTGCCGTTGTCTGCCCCAATGTACCCCTCCTTGACGGCACTCTGCACCCACGACAGCAGCCCATCCCAGTACCCATTGACATTCAGCAACACAATCCCCAAATGGTGAATACCCAGCTGATTCCACGTCGTCATCTCCATGACCTCCTCAATAGTTCCAAACCCACCCGCCAGCGACACGAAGCCCGAACCAGGTCCCCCGGCCATGACCTTCTCAGCCATAAGCCGCTTGCGCGTATGCATGTCCGGCACAATCGTCGTAATCCCGTACTCCGACTCCCCCAGCAGAGCCGTCTTGTCAAGCGGCTCCTTGATGGTCCGCTCCGCGCTCTTCCCGCCGCTCTCCGTGGGCTTCTCCTCCCCGCCCTTGTTGTCGTAGCCTGGTTCCACGCGGACGAGCGCCCGCGGGATCACGCCGTGGACGGCTTGTGGGCCGGAGAGGGAGACGAGCGTGCGCGCCAGCTCGCCCATTAGCCCCTTGGTGCCGCCGCCGTAGACGAGCTGGACGTTGTTCTTGTGGAATTCGTGGGCGAGGGCTCGCGCGGTTTCCATGTGGATGGGGTCATTGCCTGCCACTGAGCCGCAGCTGAAATGAATTGCATTGTGTTAATAAGCTTTTCGCCATAGATAAGGTTGAGAGCGTGTTGCTTGGGAGGGATGGCGTTTCCGGTGGATGGCGGGGAGGGGAGGGATAGCTTACAAGACACAGACGACTGTAGGCTTGTCTTTTTGTGTGGTGGCCATGGTGATCGCTATGGTTGTCACTGATTGAAGGATCTATGCTATAATGCTATGAATGGAAAGAGATGAGTCCAGTGTTACATTCAGGGACAATCGTTGTTAAGTGGGTGACTATAAATATATCTCGCGGATAAGCTGGTACAGTCCGCGGCCTTAAGAATCAGCCAGGTCAGAAAGATCAAAGAGCAATAATAGCTTCTTTTCTGTTCGGATATCTCCATGAAAATCTAACCATGTTTAGGATTATGGACAATTGCTTGACCATGTTTACTTGCCGTCTTATGAGTCATCACAAGTGGGTTTCGGTGATAAGTAGCTGCAGCCTAGCTGTACATTGCTTGATCGAATCCATTCCTGGATGCGATAGTTGTGACTCATTGCTGTACTGCCACCTGCTCTAACTTCATTTAGACCTGGTAACGTAAAGAAATGCTTGTTTTCTTATGAATAGCCGCATCAATATTATGTCTCTGGGGTATCTTGTAGAAGTCTAATGCAATAACGAGAACATGCTTCAACCGCCAACTCGGCCCTTTTTCTTCTTCAATCTACTCTCATCAGAGCTAGATGGAGTGCCGACCTTCTCCGGGCCCTTTCCTGGTGTATCCACTCTCACCAACGGAGTGCCCATCTTGGTAGGGATCGTATTTGGCGGCTGTTTTGCTGTCGCCGTCCGATCTACGTCATTGGCCTTGGACATAATAAACGATCCGGGCTCGCCGACCAACGGATTCTCATCCATGTACTCGTCCTCATACCTGAGGAACAGATTTAGCGATTCAGCGAGTGTCCTCGTATCCTGGAATGTAGAAGCAGTGTTCCCCGTCTGCGACCCCACCAGGGGGACTCTGGCCGGATTCTCTGCATCGGGCATGGGCGTGTTCTCCTTGCTCTGCTGAGACGGAACGCCAGGTTGACCGGCATCAGCCGGTTTCGGAGCTGGTGGTAGATAGGTATGCCCATGGGCCGGGGTGAAGATTGGCAGCGTCGAGGCGGTTTTCAGAAGACTGGTTAGCGATGTGACAGCAGAGAGCTGATGCGATTCGGTCAGCCATGCCCTTCCACAAGTGAGAGAGATAGAACCATTGTAAACGTACAATGCGGTTACCAACGACACTAGCAACTGAGGGAGCCATGTAGATACAATCCCCCACTACAAAGAATGTCGCCAGGACCACCACCTCATCTTCCTGACCAGCGCGCTTTCGCCGCATCTGCTTGCGGATCACCCATACGTTCGATGGTTCGTGAGCGAACTGAGTATCTGTCTGCGCAGCGGCTTGCAGTGGATCGTAAGCGACGACAAACTCCAGGCCTTGCATAGTCCGCAATCGCCCTTCAAAGGCTTCGCGGGTCTCGACGAAATGGCGAAAGGCTTCATTGTAGTTGGCCTGGATGGCGAGGGAGGCGTTATTCGAGGTGGCGTCGAAGAAGGGCGACTCGGCGAAATAGAACAGAACTGATCGTTGCTCATCGTGTCAAAAATTGAGGTCTAATATCTGCAAGCTTGCTAAGCCCAGAGAAGCTGCCCTTACTGTTATTCGAATGCAGATATCCTCCCATCATCTGGACGTGCGGGGGAGACCGCCAGAGGATCTCCTCTAACGAAGCATCCTGGGGACCGGCCATTGAGATGCTCCTTAAACTTCCAGAATAGACCCAAGTTGACACACGCGTATAGGTCGAGAGCTAGGTCGCAGCGAAGCTCAATTGTCTTCCCAGGGATCGCTGGTGTGTGACCACAGATGCTGACCAGTTGATAGCTCTCCGCAGAGACAGAAAGTGATGTTTGGAATGTTTGCAGCATGTTCCACAGCTGCCGCATATCGTACCAAGTAAAGCCTAAACTACCGTAGTGCACGATATTGATGCTTATGAGAACCGCAAGCTACTTGTGACAGAACCAATGCAGAGAAATGACGAGTATGTATATATATTTGTCAATGACATATAATTCCTTCATGAGGACATCATGAGATATCATAAGGTATCTCCAAGTAACCAAACGCCATGCCCAAATCCCCCATGCTGAATGTTGAATCGACCTCTATCGTCTAATGCAAATCGTAAACAAATCGCTGCAAATGTTGAAATATTCGCCTTGGGTACCCATAACATCATCATAAAAAAGAAGAAGCGTCGCTACGGGTTGAGCGGAGCGAAAATCCCACAGACCGTACGCAACTTGGTCAACATCTCATCCCATTCCCCTTCGGGAGTACTCAGAGTGGTCACGGCTCCCCCGGCGCCAATTCGCCAGAGTTGCTCGTCATCTTGCTCATTTGAGCAGGTAAAAGCTGTGCGGATGAGTACTGAGAAGCTCCCCCCGCCACCGAGGTCCAGGAAGCCCATGACGCCCGAATAGATTCCACGTTTTCGGTCCTCGATGGAGCTGAGGTGCATGCATGAGCGTTCCTTAGGGGCACCAGTCATCGAGCCGGGTGGCAGACATCTTTGCAACGCAGTCAGTCCGTATCCGGACATGGTCGAGGACGGTAACTGCGGCATATCCCGTGCCGCAAATCCGGGCCGATTTCGATCAACCCTAGCTTTGACATGAGTGATCATCTGGTAAACACGTCCGTGATCCTCCACTTCCAGGAGCTTTTCTACGTGGACGCCGCCCGAGCCACAGATGCCGTAGAGATCGTGGCGGATCAGATCCGCGATCATGAGGTTCTCCGCCATCTCTTTCGTCGATCCAAGGATTTCGCGGGCCTTCTCCATGGTCATATCTTCGGTTTTCCTCACAGTGCCCTTCATTGGCTTCATTTCCAGCGTAGAGTCCCGATCCCAGTTGAGGAAGCATTCGGGGCTGCTGCTGACAATCTTGACGTGACCTAGTCGCGCAAAACCACTAAAGGCAGCGGGGTTGTACTTCCTCAAACGCTTGTACAGCTTCCAGGGGAAACTGACACGGCCACAGTGACCAGCTGGAGAGGGTAGCGTAATCAACGTTTCGCCAGTGAGACATAGTTCGTACGACTCGCCAGCCTCCAACTCAGCCTGACAAGCTTTGATCTGCCTCTGATAACTCTCCTGGGTTGGGAACTTGATGACGCTCTGCTTGAGGATAGAATCCAAGAATTCTGCGTCGGTGTCGCTGGTGTAGACCTTGCATTGACTCCTGCTACGTGCAAGGTCTTGTAAAAACTGCTCGGTCTGATGGAGCCATCCAGTCGGCATGTCATCGCCAGCCCGTGTTGACTGGACCGTGATTTGACCTGTCTTGTGGTCAATAACGATACTCCTCTCAGTCCACAGCAAGCTGGCGTCGGCAGGGTCTTCCCCGACATTTTGGCTCGTCGGATGGATTTCTGCAGCTGTTTTGGGACGTGCAAGACAGGCAAGGCCCATTTCATAGGAAAAGTAACCCAGGAAACCTCCCCAGAACGGCACTGTGAGACTTCCTGAATCAACCTTCTTCATATCCATCACGAACCTCAGCATATCCCAGAATTGAGAGACCGACAAGAATCTCTCAATAACGTCATCTGTGACTGACTGCCCACTGGGGGAACTTTCTGTCCCTTGGCGCTCCTGCAGCTTCTCTAGCAGCAGTCTCTGAGTCTCAGAAAAGTATTCGAGTCTCCAGCTGGCGGGGCTTGGGACCGAGATAATACTGTGCCTCCCATTAGATTGGAATAGCACGGTTGGCGAGTTGGGAGTATTCAAGCTCTCGCAGATGACCTCGGCATCGAGACTCCTCGCTGTGAAGGTATGGTATGCGGAACAGGAGGAAGTGCTTGCGCTCCAATCCAATATTGTGGACGCGGCGTCGGGAAGAGTAATACTACCACTGGCGTAGTGGTTAGGGTCCGGAAGAGTACCATATCCTCCTCGCCCGGTCTTTTTGTTGTAATTCAGAGCCATATCCCACCATCCTCTGAGCAACTCAGCGCAAGCTTCCCTGTCAGATTTGCAAGACTCAGGGTGAAACTGCACCCCCCAAAGTGGTTTCTTCTGGTGGCGCACAGCCATGGGAATCTGCGTCTTCCCGTCTTCTAGGAGGAACCAAGCTAGAAGATCAAGGTCCTTAGAAGCGAATCGATCGGTATGAGGGTTTCCACTATCGCCCCCTCGAGTCAACTGCTCGGGGACATCCAATTTCGCATAAAGCGAGTGATAAAGCGTCACCTCGACATCTTGCACGTTTTCGAAAATGTCCCTGTTCACAGTCTTTATCCGATGAACCTGGCCATGTAGTGGATATGGCAATCGTCCTATAGAAATGCCCTGATGGAGACAGAGGCTCTGAAAACCCAGACAGATTCCAAAGACAGGTAACATATCGGCGCCGCTCAGGTTCCAAATATCTCGCATGATGCCGACATCTTCAGCAACGTTCGGATCTCCAGGACCAGGGCCAAGCACGACAGCTTCGAAATGCTGTAGGTACTGGACCATGTTGCCGTCTGGCCAATCGGAGTCGATGGTCATCACCGAGACTTTAACATCCAGAACCTCCTCGAGCATTGCGACAACATTATAGGAGAAGGAATCGTATGCATCAATGTAAAGGACATTTCTTCGAGCAGGAGCATCGACACTTGAGCCAGATGACTGGCCGGCACCTGAAGCCCTCTCATCATCGCCTATAAATGGCGCCATAACGCTGTGGCCCGCAGGCTCGAACGGTACTCACAGAGAACACCAAAAGGGGGAGTGTGTTAAAGTGAAAGATAGAGTTGGATGTAATTATCCAACACAGCGACCAGCCAAGTAAGAATGAATCAAGGACGTCAAGAGCGTAACTAGTCGACAGCCAGAATTCATCGGCCAACAACCAGGAGTGGCGATAGGTAAGACTGTAGATACACTGTCCTCCTACCTGATGGGCCAATTTTTGATCAGTTAATCGCCGCCATGGAAGAAATGTACATATTGAAAATGTAATAGAAATTCAAAAGGATTCAAACACAGGAGAAAGATCATGCAAAAGAAAAAGGACAGACAAGTGACTCCTCCGTAGTAGATAAAAAATAACACGGCGGAAAGAAAAGGGTCCCTGGAAGTGGAGCGGCAATCAACGGAACATTTTGCTCTACGATCCTTGGGTCCTTCTCCGATAACCTTCTTCCCCCGAACGGTCCAGCATCGGTTGATAAAGATGATTGGGAGAGGAAGGGGAGAGCCATATTTTCTGGATGACAGTGGCAACTGGTTGCCCTGTTTGGTGTATTTGTCCATAAGGACTGCCTGCTTGCCACTCCAGGGTCTCAAGCTCCAGTTGAAGCCTGGCATACGAAGAGAAAAAGAGGAAAATAATTATTGTAATTATGTTCAGTTATATAAGCGCCGAAATGCCATTGATTTATGTACTGTAACATGTAATATGTCTATCCTCTCAACGACTCATGGAAGCACTCATTATGTTCATCAAATCGTATAATGGATTCATTCACTTGAACCCGACTTTGACTGGCTCGCGTTGGCCAGCTTGACTGCGATCTTCGGGAAATATTGCGCCACGAAGCCCTCACTGTAGCAAGTTAGTTGGCTTTCCATATCATCAAGGACAGAGGGTCCTCTTACCTGTAGTAACTGTGGGCGGAGCTATGGTCTCCCACCAAATTATGGGCCAATTCGTGACAGAGGATGACCCACCAGTATACCATCGATTCAGATCTGTCAGCCGACTGGTCTTGAAGTAATTCCTTTTCATGCAGCTGCTGGAAGTAGAAGTAGTTGCAGAAAATACTGCCAGCCCGGTTGAATGCTATTGTCTTTCCACCTGGGTCGTAGAAAACACTAAGAGTGTCCTTGCGCAGTGAAAAGACACTAGCACATTCAATCAACAGGGCAGCAAACAAATTGATTCCAGCACTGTTCTTGGACAGGAACGCGGATCGATCAGCTAGGGTCTTCACGAACAGCACATTGATTCCACAGGGAAGAGTCGCCACGAACTCCAAGTCATGGCTTGGCTTCTCGTCACAGTAGGATTTTGTCTCAGTGACCTCGTTCGTCTCCGGCCGGCTGTACAAGCTCGACGATCCGTGAGGGCGGCAGGCTTGAATAGCAGAGAGCAACTCGTTCTGCAAACGATGCGGAGGATGCACAGGCGCGGGTTCTTCCGGGCGCGGTATCTGAGGGTCGTCTGCAGAATATGGCGGAGGAGGGGTGCCTGTAGGCTCCGGTGTCCCAGCAGGCTGCGGCGGCGATGGCTGTCCCCCAAGAGGGTTCCAGTTCGACCTGCCACCTTCCAAACCAAATCGCTTGGTCAGGTTGGCAAACAAACCGCGCGGACGCCGCTCCTGGAGTGTCTCTGTTGCTTCGGCTTGCACATTGGGATTCGACCCCTTATTAGTGGGTGAGTCGGGAAAATCACCTGGCATAAGAGGTTGACTCTTCGCTTCCGTCTCCCGCTCTTGTGCTTGGAGCTGAGCCTGTTCCTTGGCCCAGGTAGCTTCCCTCTCTTTTAGCCGCTGTCGCTCCTCTTCCAACTGTTTCTGACGCCGATCCTCAGCTATCTTGGCCTCTTGTGCCTTTTGCTTCAAAATTCTCTCCACGTTATATCCTCGTGCCTTCAGTTCTAGGAGGTCAGTCTTCAGCAACATCTCCAAAGTGAGCGTGGAATGGAGCTTTGGCCGAACGAGAATGAGATGTACAAGAGCTTGACTGATTTCGTAGAGGTCATATTTGCCGGGACAGATCCAAAGAATCCAAGTCCGCCCGTTCTGGGTGATTATGGCACTCCGTTCCTGCGTGTGCGACACCCGACGGCCCTTGAGAGACCGCGTGAGCGAGATGGAGTTCACAACCTGCACTTTGAGGTTCTTCTCCAGCCATCTGACATCGTGGCGAATTGAATCTGGGGATTGATCGTGAAGAAACAACCTTGAACGTTCGTTGATCAGCTTCTGCAGTTTAGCCGCTGGACCCTGAGCGGGGGCCACGGCTCCCCAGTTGGCACGTTCCTCCACCAGTCCGCTTAATGGAATAGCTCCGAGTGCGGAGTAGAAGTTCTCTAACAATTCCTCTTGCGGTGCCGCTAGTATGTGCTCTTTGAAAAGGTTGAAACTCTGAAAATCATCCACCACAACAGCATCCTTCGCAGCTGTCAACGTCCATTCCTTGATGCTCTGATCTTCTACCTCATCGTCATCTGAGCCCAGAAGATCCTCAGTCTTGACCTTTCCCTGAGCGAGAGAGGTGATGTCTCGACTCGCCAGAAGAAAAGCGGACCGTTTCATCTCAGTAAAGAGTTCCTTGTCCCGTCTCAGAACGGCAAGGTGCTCTGCAAGACTTCTCAGGAGCTTGAGATACTTGTCGGCACTCTGAAAAGAAGCAGAAATTCTAGCCGGTTCTTTGACCAGCATGTACGCAAGTTCGGTCTTTGTTGGCTCTCTCTTAGACCCGACTGCCATGAGGAAGAGATTGGCCTCTTGACCAAAATCCACAAAGTCAAAGATGTCTCGGTAATCTTCGCCCTCTCCAAGGTAGCATAGCTTCGGGGCAACACGGCGAATAACCGAACCTCGCTCAACTGTATCCCTTGTGGTGATCGGGACTATTTGTGCATTACCCGTACGCTCTATATCCCGTGCGCTTAGCTCCGCTACTCTCCCAGCAAGATACTTGAACAGCACTCTTGCGTCTCGCTTTGTGGATGGTGGATGACGGATCAGGTAATCAAGACAACTCGTCATGCTGGCGTGTTGCTTGACCCCAAATTTCGAAGCATGAGGGTGAAGGTCACGTCGGAGAATCTTAAATCCAAACAATGTTGCGCCTTCATCAGTGAAACATCTGCCTGGTGTGCTCAGGTCGCGAGTCCCTTCAATGGGCAGAAACGGAACATTGACAGCACCGCAATCGAACGTGGCATAACCGTTTGTATGATATTCGGAAATGTAGTAAGACATAGCTTTTCCGTGCAAATCCCAGTCATCCCCAGCAGCCGCCTTTGACATAACATCTATCAGCTCAGGCGCCGACGGGAAACTCCTCAAACCAAGCATGGTAAGGAATTTTCCTTCAATACTGCTTGGCTGATATTTTCCCGGCCATTCGAGGATGGGGAGCCCAAGATCTCTAAGGGAATCTTTCGGCTCAAACAACTCAAAAATCTTATATCGCTTTCCATCTACCGGCTTCGAGTCTCCCGTGGCTTCGGCGGTGCAGATGCTAGTATTCTTGAGTCTTTTGATGTCATTCGCCGGGATGTCATCGCGAACGGAAGCAAGATAACGAATGAGATCAACATGACTCCATTTTCGTCGACTGTCGCTCTTGCCATCGGAAGCTTGGGGGTTATCGAGAAGCCGCTCGAAAATGACTCCAAGTTCGACAGTCTTACGAACGCCAAGCGCCATGAGGAACTTTTCCTTAACGCTATTAAGACCATGAACGATAGGGAGGTCATCGAACAGTCGCACTGAAGAGAAATATGTCTCAGCGGGCCTTTTCATCCCAAGTTTGGTTGGGATGACTGTTTGCGACCTCAATAATGTGACAATCGTCTGTTTCGATGACTGGCTCAGGCCGTTATCCCATTGTTTTGACAGCACAGGAAGAACCTGCGCAGAGAAGGACGGCGTCTGCGTTATATCTTGCTCTAATGGGAGAATATCCCTATTACCAGCATTGATGACAAGCCAGCGGATCCAAGGGACTGTCTGAAGTTCCGCCCACCCGAGTACTTCCAGTTCCTGCTTCGAGAGAGACTTGGAGTATTTGAAAGGTATAACTGAGGACGGCACAGGCAAATCAACGGGTATACGCTGGGGATTCAGAAAATTGTTAATGTCCCCGAAAACAAGGAGTCGGGCAGGATTGCCGGAGCTATCTTCATCGTTTGCCACTGCAACACTCAAGAGGCTCTGGATTGAGAAGGAATCAAGTTGGCCTGAAGTAGCTTTGCGACTTAACCAACCAAGAAATTCGATGACCTGGCCGGGCCGTAAGGTGCTGGCCTCGAGTTCTCGCTTGATATCCGAGACGGTGACTTCAGTGACCAGCCCAAAATCAGTTAATTTTCTGACGAAATCTTTTGCGCCCGACACAAGCTCATCCGGCAGGACCGGGATAGAATCCATGAAGCTCAAATCTCTGGGAGCAATGCGTGCCTGATGACTTTGTATAATACCACATGTTGACAGTACCTCTATGGACGCGTTTTTATTACATGTCCAGAAGGCGTCTTCGATAGTCTGACCTAATACGGATGACGGGGTCGACTCGCGGAAAACAAACTGGTTGGCGGTATAAATCGCTTCAGGCAAGACTCCAACAATGTCGTCTTTCCGGATCTTTGATGACTTGGACGAGTCGATCTTGGACAGGATTCTGGACTTGATCGATGCCATTTCTGCGGACCAAGCAACTCGACAGACTATTCCAGCCGCTCGTAACATCTCAAGGTTCCATTTGCTGATGTATCTCGTATTGAGGTCAATACTCTCTCTCTCCACCGTCGGAATCACCGAAGGCGCAGATATGTGAGCGTTCAATCCTGTTGTCTGGTGGGTGGGAAATCCTATGAAAACCCTTCCAGCCTTGGTAGGTAGAATTGAGGATAGGACCTCTGATCGTGACGTTGACGCTCCGGATGCAACGTCCGTGTCATAGGAAGGTGTAAGTATCGCAAGGGTAGTTCGTTTCGGTGG